GGCTCGCCGTGGGTCGCGACGGCGAGGCTCGGCCTCGCCCGATCTGGGAGAGGCCGACCTCGCCGTGGGTCACGACGTCCTCGCGACGGCCTCGCCCAGATCGGGCGAGGCCGAGCCTCGCCGTCGCGACCCACGGCGAAGCCGACCTCGCCGTGGGTCACGACGTCCTCGCGACGGCCTCGCCCAGATCGGGCGAGGCTGAGCCTCACCGTGGGTCGCAACAGCGAGGCTCGGCCTCGCCCGATCTGAGCGAGGCCGACCTCGCCATGACCGACGGCGAGCCGCCTCGCCCAAGCGGCGAGGGTCCGGCCCTCGCCCTCACCGGCAGGGGGGCCCTCGCCTCCGCCGGGTGGCCGGCGAGGGCGGCCCTCGCCGGTGGCCGGCGAGGGCCGTGATGCCCTCGCCGGCCACAGGGCCGTGGCGGGTCGCCGGCCGCGGTCGCCGGCGACCCGGCCAATGGGAGGCTGTGGCGGGTCGCCGGCCGCCGATCGCCCGGCGACCGGCCATGGCCTGGTAGAAAGAAAAAAAAAATTAAACAATTCAAAATATTATTAAAATATTATTAATAAAAAGAAATTTGTGTGTAGTTACCAAACGCATTTATGTTCTTTTCTATTCCAGGAATAGAAATTTTGGACAGTTTACCAAACGCCTTCAAATGCACAGAAATTGTTTTTTTTTTTATTTATAATCGAGGTGTTCGCGCGGCCGGCGAGCTAGGGCTCAAACCAGCGGTGATGCCCGACTAGTCCTCGAGGGGGGCTAGTGCAGCATCCCACCGCCACGACCCCCCACTTAAATCACCGATGGGCGAGTTTTGAACCCAGGACCTCTCGTGAAAGGAACTGAGCGCAAACCAACGTGGCCACCGATGGGTGGGTAATGCACAGAAATTATTTCCGGGCACAGAATAAAAAAAAATCATTTCTGTTCAGAAATAGTTCCCGGGCACAGAATGATTGTCATGCGCACCCTAAGTGTACTAACTTTGAAATTACCAATCCCATATTAATGGTTACGGTGATCTGACATATAATCAAGGAGACAAAATCAGATCTGTGTCAATATTTAAGGATAGCCCACTATCGATTTGACGATGACTCACATAAGTCACTGACAATGAAGCTTTCCTCTTATGAAATTCTTCTTTTTTTAATAAACTTCTCTATTAAATAGCATTGGAAAAAAAATTTACTACGTTCAAATACAAATACATTCGTTTCGTGAAAAATAAATAATTTGATCCTTAAAATAATTAATTTATATTGCTTATAAAAATGATAGAACGAAAAAAAGTTTCACTGTTCAAAAAAATGAAATATTTTTCATTGACTAATTATTTCAAGCAATATAAATAATCAATTTTTTTAAAAAAATTTCACATTATTTATTTTTCACAAAATAAACGGAGCCTTAATCTAAAATTAGTTTTTATCAGCGATCGCCGATTTCCTAAGTTTTAAATGTAGCAATAATGTTGATTATTTATTTATTTAGCCAGGTCTACTGCTAAAGATTAAAACAAGCTGAAAAATGATAAATTTTATATAGAGGACATGATAGATTAATAGGAGGAGCACATGGTTGATGGGAGTCCACGATTCAATCTTAGATTTTTTAACGGTTTAAAAAATTTAGGAAAATCCCTCCCTCATTTTGTTGCAGAAATCGAGCTCTGAAGTTTGTGTCCGTGGAGTCACAAAGCTTCCCATTTCCAATGTCTAGGAGTAGTAGTAGATCGTGAGAGGACGAAAATCCCATCTTTCTTTCGATTTATATATTTTTTGCTCACCCAACCTAACATAGGCTAGGAATTTGCATGTGATGCCGTGAAAAAGAATAAAGTTTATATAATGGAGCCATTATTGAAGAGATTAGCTCTAGGTTTATATAAGTTCGATGCGTCACTAGGGGTGATAGGTTTCAGGGTGGGTAGGTTCTAGATTTAGAACCTGAAACCTACCTTGTTATAACCGGTTTCTAATTTTTGAACTTGGAACCTACCGTATTTGTCCTAAAACTTGTTTTGGGACATACCCTGTTTTTCTGCCCCATTTCAAGGTCTACCCGAGAACCTATTTTTCTTTTGTTCATTTTTCTGGTTTTATTTTTTACAGCAAAATAATATGAGTAGCAATGAAATAATTTAAAGTAAAAGATGAATAATAAAAATCACTATCCATCAAAAGTAACAATCCCTAAAATGAGCAATAAAAATTACTATCCACCAAAAGTAATAATCCAAATATAGTAATAGTATGATCAACGGTTTTTTTAATACAAGCTAAAAACCTGTTCCAAAACCGGTTCGGGTGGGTCTTCACTTTGAATTGGGAACCAGACCAATTCCAACTGGTTCCCGGACCTGTTTTTGGGGCTTCCCGGGTAAATCCGATTTGATTGCATACCCCTATACGTCACGGTCATTTGATCACGTGGATTGTATATGAGATTCCATATGATTAATATACATCAGACGTATGCAATCATTGTTCAATTTTATGTATCAATACTTGGGCGTGATAGTGGGGCAGCAACAAAATGAAAAGCACACTCAAGTTAGAAAATCTCCAAAGGACGAGTCAACAGAGTTCAAACTCTTGAAATGAACTATGGCATTCTACCCATATACAAAGGTAGCCTGGGAAAGGCGAACGTCACAACATGAAACGAACGGCATCATGGCATACCACGATCGAAAGAGGAAATGCGAATGTAATGTCGCAAGATCTGTTTGTAATCTACGATGCGACGTACCGTGACACTGGCTCATACCGAATTGATTATAATGTGAGATATTAGCTAATAGCTGTGGCAATTTAAGTGCTAAGATCGAAGTAGAAGCACGGTCTCCGACGCGTCGCCAGGAATTGCCGGCCCCATCATAATCTTATATATCCGTGTGCCAGACTCGTGTTGAGTTTGATCTATATCTTTGCTGGTCCCTCTGTTCTTGAAACAGAACCAAGAAAAATCGCATAGATCTAATGGAAAATCAGGGATGAGATAAATGCATTAGATTAGTCATAGCAGGAGGGTGTCCTCTCTCGCTTTTGCTCCATTGAAAATCGTTCTCACGTCCCTCATTTCCGACGCCGCCTAACACATCCAAACACACCCTAAAATCAGACACTGCGAAACCCAAACCGTCTGGCTTGCAGCGAACGGCTTGTCGCCGGTCGATAGACGACTGCAAACGATGTCTTGTCTCTCTTAGTATCTACCAATTGCTGATACAAAGTGACAATGACACAAATACTTTCTAAACTTTAATTTAATGTGCAATGTGATCCCTAAACTTTTAATTTATTCAATATGGTCCCTGAACTTTAGCCAAATATGTAATGTGGTCCATGAACTTTTAAATATAATCCCTAAACTATGTAAAAATATTTCATGTTGTCGTTCCATCAATTTAAGATCATGGACAATATTAAACATTTTCATATAGTTTAAAGACTAAATTGAACATGTATCAAAAGTTTAGGGGTCACATTGCATATTGGGCAAAAGTTCATGGATCGTATTGAACGGGGACCATATTGCATAAAGTCAAAGTTTACGAACTATTTGTGCCATTTTCCTTCGTTCAAACAACAAAAGCTAAATGTAGCTTGGAAAAGCTAGCGAAAGATGTCAAGCTCGAGAAGATTTCCTTACTTTATTCATGGTTCCCGGATTTAGGCCATACCCCATGTTCTTAGACCAACGAGAATCTCTCTTTCCTCTCTCTTTCGGTCCCATTGCATTGTTCTAGAGTTGGATGCCCCAAAATATACGTGAAAACCCAAGTTCTGTCTGCTTATAAGTACGCGAACTTGGCCGGCCTAGGGTTATACTGATCTTTACAGTGAGTCATGGCTTCTTCTCTGTGGTTTCTGTGCCTCGGCTTCTTGCTTCTTGCCTCAAGAGCAAGGAGCGCCGCGCCGAGAAAGCCGGTGGATGTCCCATTTGGTCGCAACTACATGCCGACTTGGGCTTTCGATCACATCAAGTACTTCAATGACGGTTCTGAGATTCAGCTCTCTCTTGACAAATACACTGGTAAGAGCATTGCAACATAAGTACTTGTGCAAGATCCCATAGGACTCAGTTACATTAGATCGACCAGGGTTGCACGCGATCTACTCTGAGAATGTAGCTATTTCCGTTAATACGTTGAATACATTGAAAAGCAGATGCGAAAATCTCTCAAAATGCGAGGTTTTTGGCTGTTACTTTTGCTGTGTTTTCCTTTTGACATTGCCTCTGCTTGTGAAGGGACTGGGTTCCAATCAAAGGGCTCCTACTTGTTCGGCCACTTCAGCATGCAAATAAAGATGGTTCCTGGCGATTCGGCAGGCACGGTCACCGCATTCTACGTAAGTCGCTGCCTTATCTTCTACTTTCCAACCAATTTACACTCTAGTTTTGGAGATTGTTGTTTCACTATTTGAGGAATTATAACTGAAACTCGAGGATTGTTGTTTCATTGTTGCAGTTGTCATCTCAGAACTCAGAGCATGACGAGATAGACTTTGAGTTCTTGGGGAACAGAACTGGTCAGCCATACATTTTGCAGACCAATGTGTTCACCGGCGGTAAAGGAGACAGAGAGCAGAGGATCTATCTGTGGTTTGACCCCACCAAAGACTATCACTCCTACTCTGTGCTCTGGAACTTGTATCAGATTGTGTACGTCTCTTTCGCTTTACTCAACCCATCCGACTCTCGCTATGAAAAATGAGTCAGGCCACAAACAAGCAAAGTTCTAACTATGTGAACTTTGGCTCATCGGCAATTTCACATCGATAAACCGAGTCTAGCTTGACCTTGTTAATACTTGAATCGAGCAGAGAATGAGCTGATCTGTCGTTCTGCTTCGATCCGTTTAAAGATTCCGACTTTTACGAAACTGAAGTCAAGTTATATCTTCTAATTGCACTTGGCACATACTCTGTTTGATCCGACGCCGATCTACGAACAGAGAATGAGCTGATCTGTTGTTCTGCTTCAATCCGTTTAAAGATTCCGACTTTTATGAAACTAAAGTCAAGTTATATCTTCTAATTGCACTTGGCACATACTCTGTTTGATCTGATGCCGTTCTACAATCTTTGAACCACAGATATTTTTTTATCCTAAATGAAATATTTCGGTCTAATTGTGTCTCGGAAATGTGATGTACCCAATAGGTTTTTTGTGGATGATGTGCCCATAAGAGTGTTCAAGAACAGCAAGGACCTCGGGGTGAAGTTCCCCTTCGACCAGCCGATGAAGATCTACTCGAGCCTGTGGAACGCCGACGACTGGGCCACACGCGGGGGGCTCGAGAAGACCGACTGGGCCAAGGCCCCGTTCATGGCCTCCTACAAGAGCTTCCATGTCGATGGCTGCGAGGCCTCAGTTGAAGCCAAGTTCTGCGACACCCAGGGCAAGCGGTGGTGGGACCAGAAGGAGTTCCAGGACCTTGACGCTGAGCAGTTCCGGAGATTGCAGTGGGTCCGAGAGAAGTTCACCATCTACAACTACTGTAGTGATAGAGTTAGGTTCCCCAATGTGGCTCCTGAGTGCAAGAGGGATAGGGACATATGAAATTCTTTCTTCTTTTGTTCAATCTTTTTGGAATTGATAGTTCTTTTTAGGGACTTACTAATTATCTTGCCAGATTTAGCTTCATCCCTCGATGATGGTGTTGTGGATTTTGTTATCTCTAGTGTGTAATAATCAACTTGATTGTTCGTCAATTGTCTCTATTGTTCAGTTTCTTTATGGGACGTAGACGACCCTCATGACTCGGAGAGGTTTTCCACGACCCTGCTGACCCGAGATCTTCTCCGGTTTCCCTCCAAGAAAGATAATCGAATCAAAGAAGATATGCATTCTGGACAGATGATGGTCCAGGAAGTTCCTAATCTTTAATTGCTCTCGAACTGGACAACCGAAAAATGTTTCAGACAACTATGAAATGAAAAGGAGAAGACATAACAGATATTTTGTGAGGCTGATCCAATCTTTTGACTTTTGTCTGCAACATTAGAGGCGACGTTTGTGGATCACAACCCACTGATCTCTTCACCTGTATCTCCATTTTTCTTTTGTTAAATCAAGAAGCATCATCGCTGCGTGGGGTTTTGTTGCTGATGATGCGCTGGACAAGGAGTGAACAAGTTTCTAGGATTACGCCCACTTGACCCAAAAAGTCAACCCTGTTTCAAGATTCGTTCCTTCCAACAATGACTAAAGTAGAGGAGATTGGTTGTATCAAGCACATGGAGTCGATTTTGTTGACCCATTTCTTTCCCCACAGCTCCATATGAATCGTCCAAGGCAACAAGAACCGAAAGAAATATACAGTAAATAATGCTGAGTGTCTTGGATATAAGAACTGGATTCGCGACACATTTTGAGTGAATTGAGTCTGTTCGATTTTAGTTTATTGTGAGAGTAGGTGTAGTGTGCCTTCTATATCGATTATAGTTACATGAACTATAAGATCATATGGATTTTACATGAGACCCACCTGGTCTAACGGTGTGTGCAAGCTAAGTTCACGTGAACCGGGATCGCACGAGCAGTTTCCAATTGAACTATCCTTCTTCCCACTCTTGTATAGCCCTCGTCATGAAGAGTCACAGATTTAGCAATATTCCGCATCCTCTTTGTGGCTTCAAACAGAGCATATAAGTTGCCATTTACATGTCTCGAAATAACTATGCGTCACACATGTTGTTGATACATTGATTGATTCCATCGGCGACATCGGATCTAATAACATGCCAAGAGACCGAGCTGCTCGTATCACGGCACAACAACCTTCACTAACGATGCCCTTACCTGACTCTCAGCTTTTATTTTCATACTTGTCTATTGACGCGGTCCAGACAGGCCAGACTTGAGATGGACAGCGGCAAGTTACATCAAGTGAGCTTGGTGACAGTAACGCTCTCTTGCCACCTCTTCAGGGGCTCGATCTCGTGGCTGCTCCTTGGCTGGCGAGCTCACGCTCCCCCTGCCACTGCCGCCGGGCGACGCCTCTCCAGCGGAGGCTTGCGGCCTCGACTCGGTCCGGACCTCCAGGAGCCTCTGCCTGATCTGCTGCGACTTCTTGGACTGGCGTCGTTTGAGGAGGTAGTCTTCGGGTATGAAGACGTCCATGTTGTTGTCCGATGAAGCAAAAATCTGGCCGCTCCTCTCCACTCCTCTGCTTCTTCTCCTTCCCCACGAAAGTGGGAATTCGATGTCGTTGTCATGATCGGTGATCGCTTCGAACGATTCGCCTCTTTGGATAAATTCTCTTCTTGTAGATTCCAGTGGCTGGTGGCGATGCCCATGCCATTTTGGCGCTCTGCTTTATTCAGTGATTCTGCTGCTTGTTCTCTTGGCTTGTCATGAAGTGGAAGAAGGATGGCCAGTCGTGTTTGGATTCTCATACTGCTAATCGGTGGTAATTTCTTGCATTTTTTTCGTAATTTTAATTACAAAATATTGTAACATGTAACAACTTAAACTCTTTACGATCAACACACGAGTTTTATTCTTTTTTAATTCGACGGTTTCGGAAGGATATGTTCCCCGAAAATACTTAGAAACACCCGAGAAAGAGAGTTACTTCGATGATAGATTGGGACATTGCAAGTGATTCTTGCTCTTTATTATATATAAGGGCAAAAGCAATCAAAAACCTAAATTATGCCTGTGACATATTTACCCTAAATTTTTTTCTGCGACATCAAAAATCCTAAACTTGTACCTTTGTGACACATTTACCCTCCGTCAAAGTTCTGTTAATGAGAACTGTTAAAAATCTGCATAGACGTTAAAAAGCAAATAGTATTGACATGACGTCCATGTGGCTTAAGTGAAAAAAAAAAACGGCGTTATTTTGATTGAAAAATCATTTAACAGAACTTTAACGAAGGATAAATGTGTTATAAAGGTACAAGTTTGAGATTTTTTATGTAAGAGGAAAATGTTTATGGTAAACGTGTCACTGTGAGGGTTTTGATGTCATGAAAAAAAGTTCGGGGTAAATGTGTCACAATGAGCATCATTTGTGATTTTTTGTGGCTTTTTCCCTCCATATGATGTGTTAGTGAAATTGAGAAAATTGTTCAAAAAGTCCTAAATCTATTCAATTCAGTCTTAAACCTTTCAAGTTTGCCAATTGAGTCATAAACATTTTCACTTTTTGCCAATTGAGTCTATCCGGCCAATTTTTGCCGGAAATCGCTGACCTGGACGTCGGCCAATCACGTGGCGCTGACGTGGATATTTTAAAATAATATTTTAATATTTTTTTGAATTTTTTATGGTTTTTTTTTCATTTTCTCTATTTTTTTGGGGGGTTTTGGAGTTAGAGTAAGTGTATTATGTTATAAAAATAAATGGCTTCGAATCAAAAGAGCAATCAAGTCGGACTTTGAGGCGTGATATCATTTTCCTTAACGATTTATTTGCCCCACAATGTTGCTAATGGTCACCGGCAAAAATCCTCCAAGATACAACAAAGTCTCAAAATGAGAATACTAGATAGCAATTCTAGTATTCCTCTAGGGTCTCTCTGGGAAACAATTGACAAATGATGGCTGCAGTTTTCGAAAGAAATCGATCTTCAAGAACATAGGCAACTCTTCACGAAAGGTTGCAAAGCTAACAAAGATGTTCCTTCGGACCAAGTGGCAAACTGAACAAATGCAACCCTTCGGGAAAGATTGAAAACTAAACAAGTATAATCTCCAAAATTTTTCTTTTTACCTTGGAATCATACAAAACAGAATTATCACGTATACGTGACTCTTCCTCAATACGAAGATGTTTCTGTATTTGTTCCAAGGTGAAGTCCTCCGACTTATGCATCGGCTTTTTTCCGTAGTCTTTCCAAGTTGAAGGCAATTTTGCAATAATTGCTCCAACTTGAAAGGTTTCTGGAATTTCAATTTTGAGGGCACGAATTTTGTTGACGAGCACTTGTAATTCGTGGATTTGTTCCAACAAGGGCTTAGTATCAATAAACTTGACATCAAAATACTTTGCGATCAAATACTTATTGGTACCTTGCTCCTCCGCTTTGTACTTGAATTCCAGTGCGTTCCAAATTTCTCTGGCCGACTTCATCTCAGTGAATAAGTCATACAATCTATCAGACAGTGTATTCAGCATGTGTCCACAACATAGCAATTCGTCCTCCTCACGTTTCCTCTTTTCCTTGTTTATCCTTTCAACAGCTTCCGCACTTGGCTGTCCTCCCTCAGTAGTAGGCTTCGGATCTTCAATAGGCGCCAATTTTGGATCCAGAATATAGGATATCTTCAGGGCAGTGAATAGGAACATCATCTTGTCCCTCCAACGAGCATAGTTATTCCCATCGAACTGATCCAGTTTGACCCATGTCTTGGTTCATGATTTTGAGTGTCTCCAACTCCATTGTTGAACAGAAATAAATCCTTAAGATTGTTATAAAAATAAATGGCTTCGAATCAAAAGAGCAATCAAGTCGGATTTTGAGGCGTGATATCACTTTCCTTAAGGATTTATTTGCCCTACAATGTTGCTAATGGTCACCGGCAAAAATCCTCCAGAATACAACAAAGTCTCAAAATGAGAATACTATATAGCAATTCTAGAATTTCTCCAGGGTCTCTCTGGAAAACAATTGAACAATGATGGCTGCAGTTTTCGAAAGAAATCGGTCTTAAAGAACATAGGCAACTCTTCACGAAAGGTTGCAAAGCTAACAAAGATATTCCTTTGGAAGAAGTGGCAAACTGAACAAATGCAATCCTTCGGGAAAGATTGAAAACTGAACAAGTATAATCTCCAAAAGTTGTCTTGAAAAGACACATGTAAAATTCGGAATAAAATAAAATAAAAATATATATAAATAAAATTCCGAATTTTCATAATTTCGCAAATTATTTAATAAACAAAAAACAACCTTTCAACTAATAAAGATTAATGAGATAACCTTACGAAATAGAATAAAAAATAAAGGGATTAGTGCTAATAAAGATTAGTGCTAAGTGCGCCTAATAATCGTGCCAAAATCGCGCACCCGCACGCGGGTATTGTGTGGACTAGCACACACCCCATTATCTTCACTCTCAGGAGCAAGAAGATATTCACAGTTATAAAATGGCCCACTTTCTCAAAACTTTCCTATGTGGGACAAAGGAAAGAGCATTATTTTGTTTGTTTTACAAACAAACATCCAACATATTACACATGTATTACGTAAAGTATACATACACTATGTGATTTCCATTACAGCTTTTGTCTCCCGCACGTTTATTGAACTTATGAAATATGTTCGTTCTTTTAGAGTAAGTGTATTGCACATGTATAATTTAGTTCAAGTTTCAATTCATATGTCAATTATTACATAAATAACAAAAAAAAATGGTTGTTCAATATCATATTCTATCAATTTTCACTAAATAGCACGAAAAGATAAAATTTAATTATTGAATCTAATATTCTAATCTTATAATTCAAACGATACTATTATTATACGCAAGAGTTTTCATTTAAATGCAATTGATTTAAATTCGTAATAACATCATACTTATATTGAATTATAACAGCGCTAAATTTTTGTCACGTGCTTTTAACAAAACTGCTGATATACACCTATCTGCCTCCTTTTCATGTTTAATTATTTTGTAACACAAAAGAAGGTATTTTAGGGTCAAACAATACCATTATAGGTTTTAACATTCTCCGTTAGCTCATTGACTGAGAAAATTAAAAAGTCCGGGTATTACTTTTTCTTCCATTAAAAAATAACAAAGTTAACGGAAGGAATGTCGTTAAATAGAAAATTAGAAGCAAAAAAATTTAATTTCTACAAAGGGTTCCCGAGTATCTATGTTGATAATTTTTGAGATAATGGCACAAATGGTTCATAAACTTTATTATAATATGAAATGCGATCCTTAGACTTTTAATTTGTTCAATGTGATCTCTAAACTTTTTTGTTCAATTTAGCCCCTAAATTATATGAAAATGCTCAATATTATCCTTCAATTAATTCAAGTTCAAGGACAACATTAAATATTTTCATAAGATGCATGGACTAAATTGAATATGTACCGAAAGTCCATGGACCACATTGCACATTAGGGTAAAGTTTAGGAACCACATTGCATATTAGGGTAAAGTTCAGGAACCACATTGCACAAATTAAAAATTTATGGATCACATTGCATATTATGCTAAAGTTCAATGACCATTTGTGTCATGTCTTTTCCGCCAATATTTTCTAAGAGGAAAAAAAATTCCTCAAGGAAAAAAGAAGATATCTTTAAACATCTGCATTTTCTAGAAAAAATAAAATGGTTAATATCACGAAAAACCCCAAACTGGTACACTTGTGACAATTATACCCCGAACTAATTTTTGACCATTAAAAATCCCAAACTAGTACACCTGTGACAAATTTACCCGAACTATTTTTTTGACTACCAAAAACCCCAAATTGTTACATCTATGACAAATTTATTTCGAACTAATTTTTGACCACTAAAAACCCCAAATTAGTAGACATATGACAAATTTACCCCAAACTAATTTTTTGACCATCAAAAATCCTAAACTGGTACACTTGTGCCAAATTTACCCTCCATTAAATTGGATTAATATCACGAAAAGCCACAAAATGATAAACTTGTAACAAACAAAGGGGTAAAACCTTAAACTGGTACACCGATTAACTACCACTTGTCATCAAACTTAGCAATTTGACAGTCAAATTTAATAGAAACTAACGGAGGGTAAATTTGTCACAAATATATCAGTTTGAAATTTTTGGTGGTCAAAAAATTAATTTATGATAAAATTATCACAGGTGCATCAATTTGGTGTTTTTGATAATCAAAAAATTAGTTCGGAATAAAATTATCACTAAGTATACTAGTTTGAGATTTTTTATGATTAAAAAAGTAATTTAAAATAAATTTCTCACATATATACCGATTTGAGGTTTTTCATAATATTAACCCAAAATCACCATCTTTGGTTGCTCTCCCGTGTCCTCCTCATGTTCATATGCAATCCTCTTTCGTGGCAGCCATTGCAGGAGAGCCATTGCTCTCTCTCTCTCTCTTCTCTGCTCTATAATGATTGCTTGTGTTTCGAGCACGCCCGATGCCCTTCAAGGGACAGCCCCAATTTCGTACTCCCCGCCGAGGTTCGGTTCCGAGGATGCTCTGGTCTTGCTCCGAAGGTGCGCGAATTTCGGACAGCTCAAGCAGGTTCACGCGAAGATGATCCGGAGTGGCCTGCCCAGTGACCAGTTACTCGTCCGGAAGATGATTCAAGTTTGCTCCTCGCAGGGCAAGATGGACTACGCCGCTTTGGTGTTTCGTCAGCTCGACAGGCCGCAAGCCTTCACGTGGAATCTCATGATCAGAGAGCACACGATGAATGGCGGGTCGCGGCGGGCGATTCTGTTGTATAATCTCATGCTCTGCAAAGGGTTTGCTCCCGATAAGTTTACTTTCCCATTCGTTGTCAAAGCTTGCGTCGATTCGTCGGTTATCGATAAAGGGAGAGAGGTTCACGGGATGGCCGTGAAGGCGGGGTTCTGGAGGGACGTTTTCTTGCAGAATACTTTGATGGATCTTTATTTCAAGTGTGGGGATAGAGAGTGCGGGTGCAGGGTGTTTGAGAATATGCCTGTGCGTAGTGTGGTCTCGTGGACGACCATGATCAGTGGTCTCATTGCTTGTGGCGACTTGGGTGCTGCCCGAGGGACTTTTGAGCAGATGCCCGATAAAAATGTTGTCACCTGGACCGCAATGATTAATGGGTATGTGAAAAATGGGCAACCTCAGGAGGCGTTTTATTTGTTTCGGAGAATGGAGCTTGATAAAGTTGAGCCAAATGAGTTCACACTGGTTAATCTGTTGAAAGCGTGCACGGAGCTGGGAAGCTTGAAATTGGGTAGATGGATACACGACTATGCTCTCAAGAATGGCTTCAACCTTGGGGTTTTCCTTGGGACAGCTCTTATTGACATGTACAGCAAATGTGGTAGTTTAGTAGATGCAAGACGGGTGTTTGATGAGATGCAGATCAAGAGCTTAGTTACTTGGAATGCAATGATCACTAGTTTAGGCGTCCATGGGTATGGAGAAGCAGCTCTTGCTCTTTTTGGCCAGATGGAGAAGGCAAATGTAGTGCCAGATGCAATTACTTTTGTTGGGGTTTTATGTGCTTGTGTACATATGAACAATCTGGAGAAGGCATATGAGTTATTTGTAAATATGAGAGACCTTTATGGCATCACACCTCTTCCAGAGCATTATGCTTGCTTGCTTGAATTATATAATCGCACCACTGTGCAAGATGAGGACTTTGATTTACTTAGCAACACACAGATGAAGCAGAACGATAAAATATTGGCAGCATTTTTGGAGGCAGATATTGCCCCAGATGTTTCAAGTGCTGATAGAATTTTTCATTCAAGTTTTGAAGAGGCCTCAAAAATGGGTAGTATCTACCAGTGTCAGCTTCCCCGCTTCAAATGGGACGTAGGCTGACAAATTGATGTTTCCATGCCATGGTCCATGTAGTATAGATACTGCCCGACTAATGTAGTCATTAGTATCGTCTTGACTACCAGCTACAGCTTTCATGCAGTTGAAGTTATGATCCTAAAGCTCCCTGACATGGCTTGAGCTGACGTTTAAATTTTGTCTTTGGAAGAACCTTTTACGCTGTATACATGATGATTTTCAAGCTTCTGCAACTTGGCTTGTGATGATGCTCTGATCAATTAAAAACTTTTTGTTTCAATCTCTACAGCATAGGTGGAATGGATTATTTGAGTTGCTATGTGATCCATTATTCTATTTTCAGTTTCATTGCACTCGTGTATGCTCTGACCAAGTGAAAAATTGCATGGCACTGTGATAATCCATAGCATGGACCCTGAGCTTAGATTTTCTTTTTTTACTTCTGTTCAATTGCAATGCGCTGTTGTATCAATGATATCAGATGTCATTGACAATTTTTATAGTTGGAGTTAGAAAATCTATCTGTCTAGCATAATAGCTTGGAGAGGATTGATAGGATTTCTAAAGTCCCTGGACAAAATGTTCTCTTGTAGATTGTTGGCTTGTATTGGTGCACTATTGCACAACCTTATTCCGAAAGCATTTTCTATGTTTTGTTGTCATTCTTTTATCGGATCCCCTTATCATTTTGCTTTTTTATCAACCTCTCAGTTTGCTGGTGTATCTGAAGTAAATCAATAGAGACATCTATAATTCAATCTTTTTCTCAATTGCTTGGCCTAATCACTCAATTACAGAACTACTTCAGAAACATATGTGGAATTAAGAAAGGAACAAGCATGTGGTTTACAAACTTGTGCAAAGATAAGTGAGGTTTGATATTCAAGGATTACAGCTAAAGAGCCGAGCGCTGGTGAGCCGAGATGTTAGATGGGTCACATGAGCTCCTCATGCAAACTTTGGCAGGATCCTCTTTTGAGAAAGCATAACTCTTGCTTAACCTGTTTAGAATTTGAAAGATCTTGGAAGCATGTAAATATAAGTCAGTTTCGCCTCACATTGGTAGTCCACATTATTTCATGGCTGAATCAGCACGGTCAGATTTGTTGGATCTAATTCTCAACCAAGGTAAGTATGGGGCATCGCCAAACTGTTAGAAGCGAGATGCGGTAGGTTTGTTTTGATTTAATGGTAAGTACTTCCATTATCTTTATTCATGCTCATCTGTTTTCCTTTTCATATTCAATTTCCTAGGAAGAATTAAAGTTTGTGAAGTAGATGTTTTATAGTCCTTACCCCATTACGTATGATGTGGTTTACTTATGCTTTTCCAGTGCGTCACATTTTTGGATTGACTGGGGCTGGAGCATGAGGCTGCTTTAGTTGATGTGATGTGAGATGATTCCACTTTTAAATTGCATAATGACATGCAAATAAGTTCATTGGTGTCGAACTATACAAAAAGTCTATTGATGCCTAAGAATCAATAAGTAGCAGATAGTAAGCCTAGCATCAAGCAATGTTGCGTCGGCTACTTGTTCGCAGATAATGAGGTTAAAATATCGAAATATACCTCACTGCCTGCTTGATTTTTTTGTTCTTTAACCAACTGGTTTTAATTGAATCTTCCCAAAGGTGAATGGAGTTGAAAAAATGTATGATTGTGATATTATTTTCTCTTCTTGAAGCCCGAGACAAATTATTCATGTTGGGCTTGTGGGAAGATCAAGAATCTTCGGAACATCAACTTTTCATTTTTAATAAGTGATGATGATCAAGTTACCTTTTGTTTGTCAAGTTTGTGCGTCCTAATCAAAAGTGAGCTACTTCTTTTCCACCTGATGGGATGATGCATTATAATTAATTTTGCTTTTCAATTATGTGCACTCTTTTAAAGTACAGTACTTCTTTCCTGTGACAGGAGGGTAACAAAAAAACTTGAAGCTGTTCAAGCTTGTCCCTAATAAGTGATGATGATCAAGTGACATTTTGTATGTCAAGTTTTGTGCGTCCTAATCAAAAGTGAGCTACTCCTTTTCCACCTGATGGGATGATGCATTATAGTTCATTTTGCTTTTCAATTATGTGCACTCTTTTAAAGTAGAGTATTTCTTTCCTGTGACAGGAGGGTAACAAAAAAACTTAAAATTGTTCAAGCTTGTCCATAACAAAAGAAATGCCCGAAGCATGAGCAAGTAGCAAAATGCTCAAACGAGGAGGAGCTTGTTGAACTATGATAGGAGAACTAGATGGTCATAGAGCTTTCAGTCTTCCAAGGTAACCGGCACATTGATTCCCTTCCCTGTAGCTGTAAAGAATGCAATCTCTCTCTTTAGTTTATAGATCTTTATGGTCCCTTTTGTGTACCTCCTCCGGTTATGTTGAATAGCATCTGCAGAACAAACTTCTACTTGTTTATGCTTTTAACCGGTTCTAGGTTTTGATGAGCCCATTCTTGGTAAGGTAGGCGGTGGAAGCCCCTGATGCATTATTAACAAAAAATCTGAGTATACTCTGTCTTTGTGCTTTGCCTCATTCAAATCACAGAAATTAACCTATTCAGTATATAGGGTGCCATGGCAAGTGGCATTCTTGTGAACTTAAAACTTACATAGCTAATTTGTTTGCTTGTGCCCACATTTATGCATAATATAATGAGCCAGAATCTGTTGATCTTACATAAGACAAGCTACATGCTGATGAGAGACCTTTGAAAAGGCTATTTTCCTTTGTTCAAGCCTGTCCAGGTTGTCTGGGCCCCTGTTGATGTGATGAGTACAAGACACATGATTGTCCTCACTCCAATATGTTTCTTAGTAGGAAGTGTCTTATGCATCAAATATAGAATTTGTAATTAACAAATTACATCTGGTGTAGCAAACTAATTAAGAATGCGATATTTAGAAATCAGAATACGAAATTGGTTTTCTTCTTATGTAAATGATGTAACTCCTTCATAAATTGAGCCTGCGAGCACGCGCGTGTGTGGAGCATTATTAATGCTAGGTATGCATATTTCGTAATGTTTCTGGTCAAGTTGTCCTGAAGAGACAGGCTTTTAATAAGTCTCAAATGACCAAGTGAATTTTTATTTAGATTGGTTTATGAATTTAGGCCAGATTGAAAATACAAGCGGGAGAATTTATGATTTAATCCTGAAATGCTTTTTCAAACTGAAGATTCTAATTTGACTTCAGGTGGGGAATTGTTCTTGGAAGTATTCACTATGAACGTGCAAAATTGGCAACCCTTCGACATTTCTCTTCGTGAAGCTATATGTAACAGGGAATCTTTTGCCGCCACTCATTTCGCTTTGTTTTAGCTTTTATTGGAAATATAAAGATTAGCGCCTGTCATATAATTTGGTAACAGAAACAACCACATCAAAATCTCCTACCGACACGTGGCCAAATGAGGGCGACAATCACAAGGGGACCACGTCATTGGCAGTGTCAAAAGCTTGTCCTATAATTGTAGCACTTTAGGCCATGGCCAAGAGGAAGTGATCCAAGAAGTAGGATAATTCTAGTTTCCAACTCTTTGATGGTAGGTCTTTTCATATTTCTCATAGGAACTTCCTGGAGCTGCAATTACTTTAGCACGGTAGGAGAAGCTTTGTCTTTCTGGGAACTATGGAGAGGCCTTCCAGCAGCATATGCCGGGTCAGTGGAGATCACCATGCAGGCCTTTTGTGCCACTACCTTCTTCAAAATGGCTCTGCCCAATTTGTTCTCCTCAATGTATACGAGGGATGTTATGCAGGCATCAGCCGATACCATAGCTTCCACGCCGAAACAAATGCCCATATATGTGCATCCTGCAATGGCCTGATTCTGCTCACTCTTTCATCGGCAAACACCTTCTCTTACCACATTTATGATCTGTTTGCCAAGCAGTGTGTCTCCCTTCCACAGCCTCATATCACAAGGCAAAGCATCAGTACGGGATTAGCTTTTAACGGCCAACACTACCAAGTTGTGCGGGTCTTTAGAGTTGAAGCTAAATCAGTTACTGCAGACTCCCCATCAGCATCTTCGGAAGAGGATTGGCTAGAAATGGAAGTTTTCTCATCTGAAACAGGCATGTGGAATCACTATTGTCCCTTAATCCGTCTACCACCTGAGCTTCCAAAACTCAGCACAGCCCCTCTCTTCGCGAATGGAGCAATACACTGGGAAGTTGGTGGATACTTGCTTACATGCACTCTCAGCCAGTGCAACTGTAAGCTCACTAGACTTCCGAACCATTCTCCGAATTGGACGTGGCACACGATGACCTTTGGACAGTGCTTGTGGGAATCTGAAGGTTTGGTACACTATTGTTACTCTAATTTCGAAGGAATCCACACTTGGGCTCTTCTCGAGGGACAAGATCGCAGCAACTATCCCAGTTACTCGAAATGCGATATTGCAAGTTTCAAGTGGAAACTAGTCCACACTGTCAAACACGAAACCTTAATCTCATGCAACCCAGATGTTTTCAGGAGAATTGAATCACTTGTTCACACTGTCAAACACGAAACCTTATTCTCATGCAGGCCAGATGTTTTCACGGAACTTGAGCAGAACAGGTATTGCTTTTCGTTGTTGAACTGGAAGCCGTACTCTATATATCCTTGCGGGTATAGCTCAGTTTTGAAGGTCATCTACCTGAGGCTTCCCGGTGTTATCCTTTCCTTCGATCCAAGTACCCGAATTTTGAGTGAGATCTGCACATTTGAATGCCCAAACTTGGGCTTCTACAACTGCTCAGTCTTCGTGGTCGACTATTGTCTTCAGGGGGAGTCTAGGATGGAAAACGCCGGATCATCCAGGGGAAAGGAGGAGCTCGTGCATCTGCCATTAGCAGATTTGATATCTACAAAGAAATGTAATGAGAGTCGTCAGTGAAACGAGAGTGGGGGAGCTTTTCTCTTTGTTCGCCAAGAGTATGTTTCGTTTTCTCTGGCTGAATTGCAGGATGTTTTGTTATTGTTCATTGTTGGTATTTTGCGTTCTTCAGAGTGTTACCATCGACATATTTTCACTTCACAGGTTGGATCAACCGTCCTTTATGTGATACACCGTTGAAGTTTGTGACAACCTCTACTGGTTTAGGGGGGCTTGGGCCTTCTTGACCTCTGTTTTCGCTCCTACCTTTGGGCTTCTGGCTTCCTATCCAAGGCTTTAAACTGCTATCTGGCATCGAAAGCCAGTTGAAAGCTAACCTGTGAAGGCCAAAACTTGGAGTCGTTCGCTCCTGTTGGCCGGTACTTTGACTTTCGGGTGAATACTTGTGAAGGGAAAATTCAACTCTGCCCTTTTGGCCTGCAATTTCTGGCCACAGAGAAGAGAGGGATGAGCTTCTTCGAGAGGCCGCCGGCTAACGCCGCGACCACTTGAAAATCCATCAACGGCAATGAATCATAGGGCTTCGTTAGTCTACTAGTTAGAGTGAGAGATTGTGTGGCCCTCCCATGTCATTGGCGAGGGTCGCGGTCGCGGGCCCTCGTTGAGGCTCTCGCCTGGGCTGTCGCCGGCGCCCCTAGTTAACTTAAGACCCTAATCTCCCCGTCTCTTTTTTTTTTCTTTTGGGCTGGTTCTCTTCGTTTTATTTTTCGTTTTTTGATGTTTGGGCTATTTTCTGACGTGAAGCCACATTAACATCACATCTCCTTGGAACTGGTGAAAAACATCACATTAAGTTTTCGATGCGCCACGTTTAGTAAATTTTTTGACATCTCGTCGGAAGGACTTGATTTTACCGAATTCAAACCTACTTTCATGACTGTTGATGCAATTTTCCCAATTTAAGTAAAACTCGCAAGAATGACAATCATTGAAGTTAACAATTCTGAAACAAGAAATTTATGGGCAGTGTTATTAGCACAGCTGGAATGGCTTCATGGACACAGCCTGCTTAGTTTGATTACCAAAATTGTGGTTGTAGGCTTGTACCCTTTGAATGAAATTTGGAGGGAAAGAATCGGTCTTCCAATTGTAAATGATTATCTAAGATGAAAATAAACCAAATTATGATTCTGTTACTTTCATGGAAAATGAATAATTTGAAAAATATTTTCTTAAAAATATCACTTGTATCAATTACAAAAATGAATGAGAGAAAAAAATATTTTATCATTCACGGAAATGTTTAGAAATAAATTATTGTCGATAGTGAAAAATTATTTCATTGACTGATTATTTCTAGCGATATAATGATCATTTTTAGAAAAATATTTTTTCAAATCATTTAATTTCGGGAAACAAACGGACCCTAAAATGGTAAATATCAAATTTGGCCCGCAAGTTTCGCCTCGAAAAATAGCAAATTGGATAAGTGTGTAGGTGGAAAGAGGACTAAGCACATCAGACCCAATCACAAGGCCCAATAGCCTTGAAAAGTCGAACTCAAAACCACACTTCTTCAAGATCTCTAAGGGTACGTTTGATAACCATTCTGTTACCAGAAATAATTTCTGCTCAGAAGTGATTTTTTTTATTCCATTCCTGAAAATAATTTCTAAGCATTTGAAGGCGTTTGGTAACTGCCCAAAATTTCTATTCCTGAAATAGAAAACGAAAAAAAATTCATTTGGTAACTGCATAATATTTATTTTTATTAATAATATTTTGAATTTTTTAATATTTCTTTCTCTCTTTTTTTCCTTTTTTTTTCTTTTCTTTTTTTCTTCTTCCCCTTCCTTGGCCCATGGCCAGGTTGCCAGCACTGGCAACGGCGACCAACCACAGGCCAAGGCTGACGAGGGCCGCCCTCGCCAGCTCCGGCGAGGGCTGGACCCTCGCCATCACCCTCACCAGATTCGACGAGGGAGGCTCACAGCCTAGGCGAGGGCCGCCCTCGCTGGATTTGGCAAGGGCTGGACCCTCGTCGCCGCCCTCGCTAGATTCGTTGAGGGCAGCTCGCGACTTGGCGAGGTTCGCAACGCCCTCACTAGCCCTGGCTTGTGGCCAGTCACCGGTGGCCGGCGGCCGACGACCGGCCTCAAGCCAAGAAAAGTGAAGAAGACCAACCAAGAAGAAGTAGAAGAAGAAGAAATTCTTTTCCATTTCTGATTCTTGTTCCCAGAATCAAGAATCAACTTTTTTTTTTATTCTTGATTCTATTCCAAAACTAATTCTGAGAACAAATTTGTGCCCGAGAATAAAAAATTTACCAAACGAATTTCTGTTTTTTTTTGTTCCAGGGAACAAAAGAACATAATCGGGTACTGTTTGGCAGGTTACCAAACAGCCCCTAACTTGCCGCCACTGAAAAAAAAAAACTTCTTAGACCCTTTTGAACTGATTATATAAATCAATCTCGATATTTAGGTGCTCTCGAAGAATTACGTCAACCGATCCAACCAACGACGACAAGGAATGGAAAATGCTGCTCATTTCATTACCTTTCATGCAAAATAAAGGGAAAATGATACAAATGATCCATGAACTTTGACTTAATGTGCAATGTGGTTTTTGAACTTTTGATTTGCTCAATGTGGTTACTGAACTTTAACCCAATATGCAATATGGTCCCTCAATTGTTAATTTTTTAATGTGGTCCAAGAACTTTTGGCATATGTTTAAACTAGTCCCTGGAATATATGAAGATGTTTAATGTTGTCTTTTCATTAATTTAAGTTTAGGGACAACATTGCATATTTTTATATAGTTCAGTGACTATTTTGAATATATACCAAAAGTTCAGAATTCACATTGAACAAATTAAAAGTTTAGAGACTACATTGCACATTGAACTAAAGTTCAAGGACCACATTGAATAAATTGAAAATTCAGGGATCACATTACACATTAAGTTAAAATTCAGAAAATACTTGAATATCATCGACCCGACATGTATGTGTTCGTGATTTGTCGAGTGGGCAAATGACGCGAACCTCGAAGAGAATCCAGACACTCGCTTTACGTTATTGCATATGATTAGCATTACTGAGGTATTTGAGATTCGAAGATAGTGGTTTCACTGTGGCGGGGTTGTCGTCAATTTCAGTGGCGTGAGCTTTCCTTGGAACGAGGAAAAAGACAATTTCATAATGCTTGCGAACTACGCAACGAAGTTGAAGTCAGCACAAAGTGGAGGGGCCAGATTGGTCGCAAATACCAAAGGGTTCAAACAAGATCAAATATTCATTTATGACTTTGAAGTTAATTTATATTCTGAGTTAGATACTCTCTCGGTATCTCTCTATACCTGTAGATTGCTAAAAAGTCATATGGATTATGTAGGACATATGACAATACTTAAAGTACTTATCGCTGATTTGGCTAGACTTTATCTATACAACAATGAGTCAGTCAATCGGTTTGTTGCTCGATTTAAGAAGACTAGAAATAGATGCCTCACTTCGCTCTCAAAAAATGTTTTCAGGAGCCTGACTTTCGATGAATTGAAATTCACTCTTAAAGAAAAATTCAAAGGCCAAGACATTGCCGATATATTTCAATTGGCAACGAGAGTATCTAAATATGAGTAATTGTTAAAAGACAGACAATAAAAGAGCCACATCAAGGCTTTATAGAAAACGTGGCTTTAATGAAAAATTATGTGTAGAATTTGACCCAAATGAAAATATTGAAATAAATGTGGCAAGAACGATGCTCGACAAGCCTTACGTTTGTCAATCCTTAAAGCCTCCCAAACTAAAAAATAAAAGAATTGTTAGGACTGAAGACACTCAAGTTTAATCGCTTAACTTTAATAAGTTAGATGAAATCTTCGATTTACTCTTAAAAAATGGCTTGATAAAAATTAGTGGAAGGCCAAGTTATCCCGAGTAAAGAAAATTTAGTAAACAAACAAATTGCAAGTGGCCCCATTCATAGAACCATAACATAGTTAATTGTGTTTTTTTCAAAAAAAAAATTCAAGAGGCAATTTTGCAAGGAAAAATTAAATTTGCCGATGACAAAGGAGCATATGATGGCTCTTGATATTTTAATTTAAAAGAATCAAATGATTCATCAATCATTCGATTCTTTTAAAAATGGGCATTTGTTGACACCAAAAAATGATCAACTTTTGGTTATTATCGACAAACATTAGACTAAATTGATGAGAGTAGAGTTTGATCAACAATGAAGTCAACAGTAGACAACTTGAAAGGATTCGACAACTCTCCAATAAAGTCATCAACACCAAACATCAGTTATCAATGAGAACCTTCACTAGTTAACGATATTTTCGACAACCATTGTAGATTTTTACTAAGTCTTTGAACTCGAACGCAATAATAATGATACAACACTAAAACATAACTGCTAAGTGATTATGTTATAACTTATCATAGATAAGTGTTGCTTCATAGTCGGAGATTGCGAAGTAACTTCTTATAACTGCAAATAGGATTATGAAGCTTTTTGTTCTTTCCAATTCAATAAACATTGTATGTAACTGCTATAGGTAATCATCTGTTAGGAGTGTACAAAGGAACCGGGAACTACCCAGAACCGGATCAGACCAGCCCAAAACCGGTGGTTCCTAAGGGGTTCGATCTGGTTCTCGATTCCAATAAATTGGAACCGGTGGGTACCGATCCAGTTCCCGGTTCCAAGTGTGGAACCATCCATCCGTCCACCCGGACCGATAATATAATATAATATATATTATATTATATATTTATTTAATTTTTAATTAAAAAATCATAAATCCTTAAACCTAAATTGCTCAATACTCTCACTCTCTCACTCTTCTCGGTCGATGTCATGGATAACTCGATACTGTGCTAGCTGACAAAGTGCTTCACCATTGGAAGAAGATTATTATGTGTGAGTGTTGTACAGATTCCACCATTTTCACGGCTCGTTGAAGCTTGAAATGATTCAACGCATTTTGCTGAAGTTCACTGTCTGCTTTTGCCCATTCATATCAGTGTAGTGCTATATGGCTTCTTCACATATAAAAGGAGTGGAAAGTTAAGACAAGTAGCTATTGCAATGTCTTTGGCTCGGGCTTGTTAGGAAGTTCTTGGCATAAATGTCTTTATGCGGTCATATTTGAAAAGTTTGAACAATAGGTGAAGGTTTCCACTTTCCAGTCCTTGGCTCTGGCTTGTTAGGAAGTTCCTAACTTGAAGAGCAATGTCCTAACTTGAACAGTAGGCGAAGTTGTATTTTTGTGTAATTTTTTTTGTTGCATATTACAATGCTGACGTGTGAAGCTTAGTAGGACCGGTTTCATGAACCCACCTGGGATCCGGACCGAATCGACGGTCTGGTTCGCGAGTAGATCCATGGAATCACCGGGCAGTTCCCAATTCCAATTTTTCGGAACCGGTCCTTGGTGGGCGGTTCCTAGTTCTAGTGTGGGAATTGTCCACTCTGACCATGCTCACTCCTATCGTCTGTAGATGATTATAGATACCTAAAGTGTATTGGTTGTAAGGACCTTATCATCAATTAAAGAACACACGTTCTCGCAAATTTATATTTTATCTTTACTTTCCTATAATTTACATGACTATCAGCAATTGCCTCCGGTCTCCTTATCTTTAATTTTCTTGTTATTTACTTTCCTATCCAAAATGCAACCTTTGTCGATTCACTT